TGAAGTAAAAACGACAAGACTGACACAAGTGAAGATCTATTAGTAACAAAGTACGGCGACGCTCATCGATAATACACTCATATTGTAGTGAACAGGAACACATTTGTGGGGACAACTGATTGCATTTTAACACAAAATTTTGTAGTTCTTCCATCAAATGTGAAGGCTGTACGTTCAACACTTCATTTGTTAATCATTCATCAATTGTTTCAAACCTTATTTTTCCTCCGTTGTTCGCATTCTCTTCGATTCGTTCGTCCCAATCTTCTGTTGCCAGGGATTCCATTTCTGGTTGGTGTTACATACTAAGCCGAGCGTTCAATTGATTTGATAATTAAACGTTTTGAATTTTAGATAATACATATACGAGACCTTGCCAAAAAGGCTGTAGTCAAGCATCCGTCCCATGTCTTATTGTGGATACTGGCACATTCGCGTGTGGAAACAAAGTTAATTAGGGGTTATTCCAAACTCCCCTACGATGAGTTCTTGAAAGACCTGAGCCTCACTACAGTAGACCCGGCTTACGACATATACAAATTCTCGTGTCTACTAAGAACTTGTAGCCAGAAGTTCAGTAAAGGACGTGGAGGAGGTCTTAATAAGCGCGACCAGCAGTATTTGTCGCTTCTACTGTCTGCTTGACACGTTTTGGCAAGGAGAATGACCGAAAAATTTCAGATTATAACACAATTCCTAGCTTTTTCGCCATACTTTCTATGGCCTCAACAGATGTGGTTGTCATATTTGTTTGCTCTTGTGGTGCCACGGTTCTTACTCCTTCGAGAACTGGATCGCGAACTTCGACATACGAGATGGGAAACGAATTATTGTAATGCATCCAGTTTGTTTTCAAGACTAGCAACGGTGCGTGCGTGGTATGTGCAAAGGTCGCTCATTTCAACTGTGAACGACATTATGGCCAGGGTTTGCATGCCAATCTGGGTTTTTGAAAAGGTATGCACTTAAGTTGACGTACGGTGCGTTACTTCTGAAATCTTGTCAGCCATGACGTCTAAGCTCTCTTTATTTGCAGGATAGCTAGAAGCACAAACAAATTGTCTGATTACTGTCGACAGAGAGAAAGAAGATCATTTTAGGCAATCAAAACAGCGTGTCTCAACCATGAGACAGTTAATGTGACTGATTTTCGGGCAGTGAAAATTTCTGGCCATCCATCATGATGACTTAGATTGTCAAGGTTGCTGAAGCTCACGATTGTCTAATAATGGTTCTCATTCTCGTGAGAATATCAAAACCAAGTGAAAAGTATTTTGAATCATCATCTAAACACGAACACAGATTTGGTGAGCGTTTATCATGTGGTCAACTGTCATGTCCATCAAGTGATGCTAAATGTTTTAATTGTGCCGAAATTGGACAAATGAGTTCGGTGTGTCGAACGGTTGTTCATCTTACTACTGGTGATGCTAGACCATATTATTCAAAGCTCAATGACCATCTTTACTACGTTTAGAAAGCAAGAGAAGTGGTGAGATGGATGTGTCCTCGTTAGCACACGAAATACATCATGAATTTAAAAAGTGGTTGTAAAGCGGATTTGCCACAATTGACTTCTCTTACTTCAGAAGCGAACATTCATTACAGTTGACGCTGGTGGTATTCTCAATTAACGTTATGGTTTTAATGTGTATCCAAAAATTTGTTTGAAAATTTCCCATCTCCAGATTCCAATTCGGTCAATGTTCATCGATCTCGTCAATGATTACCTCCTATTTTAGTCTGTTTAAATACACTTGTCTTCCATTCAGTCTACGTCGTTCTCCAACAATATTTCGAGATATTATGAATAAAGTAGTTGATGATCTTAGCGGTGTAAGTAATTGTCATAATGACGCTTTAGTTTGTAGACCACCAACGTAGTTAATCTATGTCGAATGATCAGAGGCCTACTCGAGTAAGACGTGAATGGTGTCACAATCTAGCTAACGTCGAATTCACAACTCGTGGTCAGCACCTTACGTGGACTACCCCATTGACGTATCAATGAGCCATAGATGTTTTGGAGACTGTACAATACGGAGGAAGTTATTGCAGGAATTTATTAGTGAAAGTAGATACAAGCGAAATTAAGATCACTGCCGCATGGGCCAGTCAATGGCATACGATTAACTGATGCGCCTTGGTTGTCCCTGACCATGACGCGGATCGATGATTTGTTCGATATTTAATGACCCAAATGCCGGATGACTTGGCTAGGGTTGAGTGACATTTTGCTGGTCCTACAAGTTTGTAGTGATCTACTTAACTCAAGAGAACGCGATGGGCGTAATGGAAACAATTATTATTATACCATTCGTACCAGTGTTTGTTTTACTGTATTTGTTTATTTAACTGTGCCGAAACACATACATTCTTCCGTTGATTATGACCTTGCGAGAATTCGGTTACGCCCAGTAACAAAATTTGTATTCCTTTGGCACGATCTCGGTATTCCTTTGATAACACCAGACTGCCGAAAATACATCTCGAGTGCAACCATCAACTGCTTTCTGATATTTGTCCTACGGGGGATCTTGTCGGTTAACTGGGAAGTAGTCTTCCTGTTGTGGTGATCATAGTCAACCATGACTCCACAACACTCTACATGTTCATGGCCCTGATGATCAAGAACACGATTTTTTACCGCTTAAACTTTGAGGGCATTCTGCTCTAGAGCTGCACGTTTCTCCAATGAAGATGCATCTGTGATATTGATAGACATTTTCGTAGACGGGACAGTGTCAAGAAACACTTCACTATTCTAAAAGGGAAAAGTGTTTCTTGCTAAATCCTCATGTCACTGTTCCCATTCGGATGAAGAGATGACTTTTCAGGTGATATCAGCCAAACAACCACTGAAAATCAAGAAACACCAGAACGTTTTTCGTGCTAACACTGTACATCTTATAAACCACGAAGGAATATATATGTGAGATTCATATAGGCCACTGAGATTATCAACTTCAGAGAGATGAACACCCGTAGAGTCAACGTCTACAGTTTATACATAGTTCTGTCAGAAATGTCAATAAATGCATACTCATCACTAACTTCGAGAGATCGTTTCCTCAGTTCTAGTGAGAAACCTACAATACTGTATTTCTACATGGTTAAAACTGAGGAAAATCACAAGTGATAAGGGTAAGTGCAACGAACTTAACATAGATGGTTGCCGTACTAATGTTTGTGACCACTTTATCAATAACGAAGCCTTAAGTAATTCCCAAATTCAGAAAACTAGATAAAGTGAAAATCGGAATTGTGAACAATCAAGAAGATCCGACAGAGCTGTGCATAGGCTAAAAATACATGAAAGACACACAGACACAAGCAACAAGTGTGAACTGTGGTGTACAGTTTTGACAGTTACTGTGTTGTTAGGTGTTTTATGTTCTTTTTGTATTCTGTAGTGACTGCGAAATACAATTCGATTCCGTCCACAGCAAATTTGATTTTTCTAATATCTATTATCCAAGTTTCATGCTGGACTCATTATTATTCCTATGGGTAGTTATCAGAGAGCCTGTAATATATGCCTTTCATTTTAACAACTGATACACCATTTTTACACAGACAGTACCTTCGGTTATAATAAAGCGAGGAAACGATGACTGGTACATAATAACATGAATTTAATTTATCTTGCTTTGTTTTCATTTGCTGTCAATTAATGTTTCTGGAATAAGGCAAATATTTTAATTCCGAGAGTTATTCTTTACATCGTGCTCATCCTACTTCATATTAACCATTCAAAATATCTATCAAAACAGGCAATCATTGTTGCATCAATACGCGACAATACGATCTAAGCATTTATACATACATCTCGGAATCTGTGTACGTTGTAAGCTGAGTCTACTGTAGTTAATGTTTCAAAAATAATATTCCACTCAGCATCCTTAAGTCATCCTCTATATCACACCTTAGACGAATGTCTTACATAAGGTGTCTTTTCCGATCAACAATTTAACATTTTCAAGATAATGTACAGGTAACATCCGAACACTAGAATCTACCTTTCTGCCTTTCTATTATTCAGCTAACCTGAAGCTGTTTGTTTAATGCTGATTAATCAAGTGAAATGATCGGCTGATGCTGTCATTTGTTCGAGTCTCAAAGTTGATGTTCATTCCATTACACAAGTCACTGGTTATTTCAACCCAGTGGCCATGTGGATAAACCGGTGATGGTGTTTGGAGAGAATGCTACTGGTTTCGATTTCCAGAGTGAACATCAAATCTGGAATGGTGGGACATGCAGCTGACGAATCCGAAACGGGAAGACGCGTGCTTCCCGAACTCCACTAATACCCACCATCCACTTCTTGTTAAAATGTGTTGGGATATTCGGAAAAATATACCGATAATTATCCTGTCACGTCTGATGGTGTCTTGGACTTTAAATGGACATTTCCTATTGGCCAATGTTTATTTCACTTGTCAAATAATGTACAAATGTAGTTTTCTATTTTATGGTACCATGTGGTCTGCTTGCTTGGTAAATAATCAGAAAATGTTTGAAATTAAGCGATTCATATCTCAGAGGCTGCGACTTGCGTTCTGGACACAACTGGCTGAGCTGGACAAGGAAGCAGGGTCAATCAGAACTCTAGGCCGTTCGTGCGTGTATTACGTGTCATTGATCCGATCGATAAGTCGCTGCATTCTCATCTGCAGTTCACAAAACACAACAAAATGCTTGTAACTTAATAAAGACATTTAGGAAATACACAAAAGATGTATATATCAGAAAGCGACTAGGTAATTGTAGTCCCTAGCATCATCGGGAAGATCCAAGCAACCAATATATCTGTCGTCCTTAGTTGCATACGTTGTGCTTAATGTACAGACTAAAACTGATTTGCAATGTGCTGTTAAACTAACGGTTGAATCAACTGTCGTTCGACATGGTAGCTGGTCACTCATGCATTATGTATACTACGTGTTCTTCAGTAAAATGTGATCACCAGTAAACAAACAAATAGAACGAAAACTGGTGCTGGGAATTATAATTTATTCTAATGAGTATAACAAAACATCAAGCACATTTGAAGATGAGATAATCAAGAGCCAACTTTTCCGTTGCATAAAATAAATGATTTCTACATTCGTGTTGTACTTATTCAGTCTTCGTTAACTACCTCCTGAGATTGCGATGATTGCACTGGTCTACATAGGCTAGAACGTTTGACAAAAGTGAAGAAATCAAGTAATGTTACTAACACTCGACATTTAAGTTGCTTTGTAAACACATTAGTTTTCGAATGAATATCCTCTCAACCTCAGTCTTAGTATTCAGAAGTTCAACGCCAATCGTCCATATCTCCATGGAGTCGATCTCCATTTTAGACTGCGAATTTCAAAACAAGTCTGACATTTCTATACGCTTTTTAAATACATAAAGCAAACACCTTTCATATCTCTCTTCTAAGTTATTTATATTCTGTCTACCTCCTGACGATTACGTCATTTTAAAAGTGTTTGCATAACTTTGGATGCCTTTTTAATAGTGTAAAAATTATCTATCTATCTTTTCTCAAATCACTTTGTGATTGGTGGCTACGATTGCGATCATGGGGCTTTATTAATTGGCATTACCAAAAAGAAAACTTTCTTCACGTAACTGTGTTCGTTTAAACGTAAAGTGATAGGTGGTAGACAAGTGAGTTATTTGTGATGCAACTGGCCTATTGTGGAGTTGAATTATTTAGAGTTGACTGATCGCTGATTTTGACTAATCTCATGTTTAGTTGAAGTTAGTTGATTTGAAGTTCTCACTTTTCAGACTATAAAGCTGTGTGACATGTGTTCGAATCATTCCGGTGATGCAACACTTCTCTCATAACTATATGTACTCCTTGTTGATAAATATAAACAAGCACGAAACTTACGTCTGAAAATTTCTCGCGACTACCTTCAACCACCTAAACTGACAACATAGTCCGTATGATATCTAGTCACACAAACTAATTACCAAACTGCAATATGGAAAATAAAACCAACCAGCACTCAAACGACTAGACAAGCATGACATTGTTCAGTACTCATTGATCAATTATTTCAAACCATTCATTACTCGTTATGGTTGATCAACTGTTGATTTTTCATTAGTCGTAATTGTTGATTTCTCATTATACTGATAATCAATTAGCCACATCAAATTATTTCTCTCCTAAATTCCATTTCATTTGAAAAATTTCTTGGAAGAGTTCGAATGGTCATTTAACTGATCCACATTGTCAGAATGTTTGTTCTTTGATATGACTACTTTATCGTATATGCGGTATAAATGCATTTATCACTCATTTCCATAGATTATCTTTCTCATATTTAAGAACTTACTAAGTACCTTCACGATGTCCATTTCGATTTGCTATTTCTACTTCACTTGGTGATGCTAACGAAATTGTTGTAGTACAATGTCTGTTCTTCATCTTCAATATACGATTAGAGTTGAGTGAAATATCCACTCCGTCCAGGTTAACATACATTTGTCCTAAAGTTTAAAAAGCAGTAAATTATGATTAGTGAGGCTACAACGTAAGACATGTTGATTGAATTGTGAATCATATCACAAATCCAGTCGAATTGCGTGTTATTATTACTACTACTACTACTAATATTACTCCTTCTACTACTACTACTACTACTACTACTACTACTGACAATAGCAACAATAATGATAAGTATATTATTAATGAATAAATAATTCACATACCTGTCTCGTCAAACTCAATTGGTACTGTAAATGTGGCTGATTCAATTCTCATTATGCTTAATGTGCATAAAATCACTACAGCAATATACAATTTGAACATGTGGGATATCATTCCTACAGTTGATATTAATAGTAGAAAGCATCACACTATGATTGACATTTTCATGAAAATAAGCAAATAATAAATCATCTCTGTACAAAAATAATTTAATACATCATTCGATTATAGTAATTTGATGTTCTTAATGCTGAATATCGGTACAAAACTGCTCACGATTTCCATGCACCGAATTCATCTATATTCACTCATGGTCACTTTGATATTTTCTCATTTATACATATGTATAGAGTGATTATAATCAGTGGACTGTGTATGACCTACACTAGGATTTTGTACTGAAGGTGGAGTCACGCATTAGTACGAAACAGACATCCAGTGCTTCCACGTTTTCAACTATTAGATATTAATTTCTTTGGGAAAACCTACAGTCACTGTCAAGTTTACGTTTCATGATTAACTTGGATGAAAATTTTGTGAAGTTGTCAATGATTCTTGAAATCTTACATTATTTCATTTTGCTTCTCATTGGTAGTGCAATAGTACACCTGTTCGACAATCGTCCATTCGTACTATTTACCCATTATGTGCAGTTTCGTAATCTATTTCATCGTGATCGTTGATCCATGAATTCCCTTGATCAGTTTAATATTTTCACATGTTCATAGAGTAAAATCTGATACAGATCATATTGACTAGATTAGTGTTCGCTCATATGTGTTGTCTTAGTCTTGAATTCAACAAACGAATTCTTGTTTCGTAAGTGGGTTATAATACGTATTACATACATAATACAGACATAGAGTATACTGATGAACCAATACACTTGTGTACCTGAAATAAACTCATTGTAATGCATCTCCTAAACTTCTATGAATTAACAAGTCAGAAGATAGGTAAACAAGCTCAGTCACAGATTACATTTCATTATGAAAATATTACAGAATAACTTACTGCAATTGTCCTATTATTGTTAGAGATATGACTTGGAGGAGTGAACAATTTATACAGATGAATTGAACGATAAGCCAATGAAAATCCGTTGTATGAGATTAAATGTAGGTTATGAACCATAATGTACTGACATTAACACCAAACGACTGAATGTAACGAAAACATCTAAATAAATAATAAGCGTTATTTGTTGATCAATGATTAGATAATCCGAATAAATGATTAAATGGAATTTACATGACATTTTGGAATGTTTATTGTTTACAAATCCGCCGTACATATGTATTCATAAATATGTCTGGGTGAACTTGATTTAAATCCTTTTCTGTTTACATATGTGGTGATAGGTCTGACAAGCTTATTTTTTATATAGTTTTCAATATTATTTGTATTTATTTTGTCAATTTCTCACTGCATGTACATTTATCATTAAATGATTTTACTTGTTGTTTACGTAAATGACCTTGAATACGTTTTCCGTTGTGATACTAACATAGCGTGACACTCTTTTAGTTGTTCGCAAATACACTATTACACACACGCTCCTTATTCTATTCTCACGCGTTATCGAGCTAATCGCATTCCAAATCGAGTATTATTCACATTTTAGACTGCTGTACCATTTCTATTACACCCTACGTCAAAGAAACTTACTAGAGTTATATTTACCTCATTGGAATTATTACTCATTTATAATTGTGGATATTTTGGGACCAAAACTCAACAGAATACGCAACAACTAGCTGATTTAAGTAACGTCCCTGAACTTTTAATTTGTGTTACTAATTTATAAATTGTTATTGTTACATTAACTTTTGGACGTAATAACTTTATCGCTAATTTTTGGTCATTATACTTTTTGGTCCACCACAATTATTTGGTGAGCCTCGTGTTTATCCTAACGGTTATAGTATTTAACATCTCATACAATTTACTGGTTTATTTTCTTCTCGTAATGTTCTCTCCCACTAAACTCATTGATATGGATTCGCCTCCAGTAACAACTTTTGTCTCATTGTCGAACTCTCCTGAAAATAATTTTAGTTCAGTTAATTCTATCTCAGAATTCAGACTCCCAACTTATGGAGCTAATAATCCAAGAGTCTGTTTTGCTCAAAATGAAGCTTTATTCATGGCTAGAGGCATAAGATCTCAGGCATCAAAGTATGCATACGTAGTCGGCGCACTTCCTATTGAGACTGCCACTAAAGTTGGGGATTTAATTGATCACGTGCCAGAATCTGAACCATATGATAAGATAAAAGCAGCAGTAATTCAACGTACATCGGTCTCAGATGTGAAAAGGCTACAACAATTGCTAACGTATTGTGACTTGGGAGATAAAAGACCCTCTCAACTTCTACGCCACATGAAACAACTTGCCGGTCCATACAAGGTAGACGAAGCCCTCCTAAAGCAAATGTGGTTTCAAACATTACCACACAGCGTTAGACAAATTCTCAGTGTCTCAGGGAAATCCGTCGCCCTTGATGACTTAGCCGACATGGCGGATAAAGTGATGGAAGTATACCAAGACAATCACTGTGTGAACTCCTTGCAACCACCTGGACCAGCAGACATTAGCTGTTTAGCCTCCTATCAAAAGCAGTTAACGCAATTAACGAGCCAGCTGGCGTCACTTCAATCGACCATAGCAACCAACCAAGCTAGACAACCGAGATACCCCGCCAAACGAGGATCTTTTCCCAGAAAAAAGTCTCGGTCACCGAAGCGAACATCTGAAGATTGTTGATACCATCGTGCTCATCCTACTTCATATTAACCATTCAAAATATCTATCAAAACAGGCAATCATTGTTGCATCAATACGCGACAATACGATCTAAGCATTTATACATACATCTCGGAATCTGTGTACGTTGTAAGCTGAGTCTACTGTAGTTAATGTTTCAAAAATAATATTCCACTCAGCATCCTTAAGTCATCCTCTATATCACACCTTAGACGAATGTCTTACATAAGGTGTCTTTTCCGATCAACAATTTAACATTTTCAAGATAATGTACAGGTAACATCCGAACACTAGAATCTACCTTTCTGCCTTTCTATTATTCAGCTAACCTGAAGCTGTTTGTTTAATGCTAATTAATCAAGTGAAATGATCGGCGAATGCTGTCATTTGTTCGAGTCTCAAAGTTGATGTTCATTCCATTACACAAGTCACTGGTTATTTCAACCCAGTGGCCATGTGGATAAACCGGTGATGGTGTTTGGAGAGAATGCTACTGGTTTCGATTTCCAGAGTGAACATCAAATCTGGAATGGTGGGACATGCAGCTGACGAATCCGAAACGGGAAGACGCGTGCTTCCCGAACTCCACTAATACCCACCATCCACTTCTTGTTAAAATGTGTTGGGATATTCGGAAAAATATACCGATAATTATCCTGTCACGTCTGATGGTGTCTTGGACTTTAAATGGACATTTCCTATTGGCCAATGTTTATTTCACTTGTCAAATAATGTACAAATGTAGTTTTCTATTTTATGGTACCATGTGGTCTGCTTGCTTGGTAAATAATCAGAAAATGTTTGAAATTAAGCGATTCATATCTCAGAGGCTGCGACTTGCGTTCTGGACACAACTGGCTGAGCTGGACAAGGAAGCAGGGTCAATCAGAACCCTAGGCCGTTCGTGCGTGTATTACGTGTCATTGATCCGATCGATAAGTCGCTGCATTCTCATCTGCAGTTCACAAAACACAACAAAATGCTTGTAACTTAATAAAGACATTTAGGAAATACACAAAAGATGTATATATCAGAAAGCGACTAGGTAATTGTAGTCCCTAGCATCATCGGGAAGATCCAAGCAACCAATATATCTGTCGTCCTTAGTTGCATACGTTGTGCTTAATGTACAGACTAAAACTGATTTGCAATGTGCTGTTAAACTAACGGTTGAATCAACTGTCGTTCGACATGGTAGCTGGTCACTCATGCATTATGTATACTACGTGTTCTTCAGTAAAATGTGATCACCAGTAAACAAACAAATAGAACGAAAACTGGTGCTGGGAATTATAATTTATTCTAATGAGTATAACAAAACATCAAGCACATTTGAAGATGAGATAATCAAGAGCCAACTTTTCCGTTGCATAAAATAAATGATTTCTACATTCGTGTTGTACTTATTCAGTCTTCGTTAACTACCTCCTGAGATTGCGATGATTGCACTGGTCTACATAGGCTAGAACGTTTGACAAAAGTGAAGAAATCAAGTAATGTTACTAACACTCGACATTTAAGTTGCTTTGTAAACACATTAGTTTTCGAATGAATATCCTCTCAACCTCAGTCTTAGTATTCAGAAGTTCAACGCCAATCGTCCATATCTCCATGGAGTCGATCTCCATTTTAGACTGCGAATTTCAAAACAAGTCTGACATTTCTATACGCTTTTTAAATACATAAAGCAAACACCTTTCATATCTCTCTTCTAAGTTATTTATATTCTGTCTACCTCCTGACGATTACGTCATTTTAAAAGTGTTTGCATAACTTTGGATGCCTTTTTAATAGTGTAAAAATTATCTATCTATCTTTTCTCAAATCACTTTGTGATTGGTGGCTACGATTGCGATCATGGGGCTTTATTAATTGGCATTACCAAAAAGAAAACTTTCTTCACGTAACTGTGTTCGTTTAAACGTAAAGTGATAGGTGGTAGACAAGTGAGTTATTTGTGATGCAACTGGCCTATTGTGGAGTTGAATTATTTAGAGTTGACTGATCGCTGAT